GAAACAGGTCAAAGGGACTGAAAATCATCACAAAGACTGAAGATGTTGGACTAAATGGTTCTAAAGATCAGCTTCTACACATAAAACAGAAATACAAATAAATAAATAAATAAAAGTTAAAGTTTAAAGTTGAATTTTAGCTTAAACAAAATAAACAAATCATTAAAAAAATGTATCAAAATGTTGTCAAGCTTTCACTTTTTAAAGTTAGCATCTCATTTTGACTCAAAGAAAACAAGTATGCTAAAATATTTCCATGTTACAGCTAAACCCTGGCGTAGATTAAATGTAAATGCTGAAACTTCACATACTAGGACGACTCTGGGAGGGTTGCTTCTCTAAAACGAGAGGCTAAAGCCTGCAAAGCAACGTCCATAGAGTGCCTTCTAATATATATTACTTCCTAGCTCGCCCTGATATGACTCCCCTGACAACGGCAATGAAAGTGGGCTACAGTGAGCAAACAGATCAGCCTACTTCAAATATCTCCTCATATATTACAGACATAAAAAGTCATTATCCTCAGTGGAAATCGATATCCGACGTGGTCAAGATGAAGAGACCCCCGTGTGGGTTTTGGGGTCAGCTTACAAAGGAGCATTGCTGCAAATGATATCATTTTTCTATCATTAACTGGCCCCAAGGTCGATGGCCATGTTTAAACCTGAGGGATAGCATTACTTATAATGTCTGGTAATAAATGGCGCTCTGGTTGAGATGTGTTCAGCATTGATTGAACATGTGGACTGGTGAAAGGGAGCAGGGCGGAGGTTGGTAAGCCTGCGGTTTAAGTGTCATGTTTTCCATAGGATGGCTGCGATATTGAAGTGTTGGTGGGATTCTGATGGGCTGGAAGATTTTATCTGGAGTTATTATTGAGGGACTCTGTTGGTGTTTGTCTAGACTCGCCGTGTTTGTCTGCTGTCTAGTATCAGCAGAAGCTGGGCCTCCAAAGTGAATCCAAACATTGGTTTGTCTGTATTGTGATACTCTTCTGATACATAAAGTAAACCATAAACTACAGACATGCTTGTATAATAATACCTTATGAAATATGCAGCTGCAACTGGATTGAAAACTAACAAAAAGAGATCAGTATAAAAGTTCTTTGTTTTGAATGAAATAATGATGCGTTAAAGATCACATCCTGACATTTTCTGAGTCTAAGACACGTTTGGTTCCCGCCTGAAGGCAGACTAAACAGGTGAAGGAAAGATCAGAAAGGTGAAATCCTGCCTCTGTCAGTCAATCAGATTAGTGTCATCACTTCAAAATCTGTCTTTTTCACTAGTGGGCAGATTTAGTCTATGTGGATATTCTTTCAGATCATTTCTACATGATCTGAGATCATTTGAGCGGTGACAGTCACTAAAAAAGCAGGTTGTGTTTGCTGGATGCTCGGATGTCTTTAGGGAAACAAAAGTTCACTGAAAAGTGATCAATCCCACCACATAACTGCAGAGTTTAGAATCACTGGTTTACTTTATTCAATATATTTTCTATAATTTTCTTTGCAGCGTTGCAGATGTTTAAGTTTGGGGAAAACAAACTTGCAATTGAGTTTGGAGTTGCAGAGTTTCTGACAACTACTGCTAACTAGTATGTTGTGTTTTGCATGTTTGTTAGCAGCGTGCTAACAATGTTGCAGAAAGTCTGGCCAATTTGTTTTCTACTGAATTGGATAAACTGATCATTGCAACAATTTTCTAAGCAGCTAGAGGACCACCACAGTGGTTTATTTGGAGAAACTTGTTCATTTCTCTAATCTTCTGATCTGATCAATGCAACTTGAGTTAGTGGAGTCCTGAAAAAACCCACAAACTTCATAAAAGCCACAGACAAAGTCAAAGGGAAATATAACATTTGATCAAATTTGTCCTTAACTCGGAAAAATTGTTGGAATATACTTGAAGAAAGGTGTTGTAGATCTGCAACACACTAGAATCATCTAGTTTGAAGAATTTCAATGTCAATATTGGTTGAAATGACCCCTTATTTTCCTAGTTTCTCTCTGTGTTCCGTTATGATGCCCACAAAACTTCTCATAACGAGTAAAGGCTGATTCATGCTTCTGCATCTGCATCAGTGCAGAGACACGCAATTCCTTGCGAGCCTACTGGAGAGCCCTCGCAAGGATGGACGGAGTCGAGCTCTCATTTCTAAACACCCCTCCTTCGAGACGGACGACGCAAGCTTGTGATTGGTCAGGACGCCGCTGTTGTCTACACCGCCGCCATTGCGCCCTCAAAAACATAAAGAGAGCCGAGGTTAACTAGTGGCAGACATGGAGAAGCTTGAAGAATACCTCGCGAAAAAAACTCTAAAAATATGAACGTTTAATTCCCCCGTGACTGGAGGGGTGAAAAGATGCGCAGCAAGAGTTTTATTTGTGGACGGTAATAACAGGAAACGTGGGTTTAGAGATGGTGAGCGCATGAAGAGGTGGAGGAGGATGAGAGACAAATTTGTCCGCGTTAAAAAGTCTCTTATATACAAAAAACCCAATATAAACACACTATCTTGGACCGGATACATGACAGGATACCACAGAAAAGCGCTACGCCCTCTGTTGTCCTGGTGGGGAATTGCTTTGCAACACTCCCCAGGAGACGGAGAAATATGAGGGCAAAAAACTTCCGTCAATCCGTGCGTGTCTGTCCCTGTTGGAGCTGACACAGAAGCATGAATCAGGCTTTAGCCAACGGAGCATCAAGGGCAGAAGGAGTCCATTTAAAGCTGCAACGGCTAATTTGGAAAAACAAATGAGCTTAAAACATTTTTTAACGCATCTCATCAACATTCTAACATAGAATGGCTATAAATATAATGTGGAGGTTGAAATAATAATAATAATAATAAAGTGGTTCTCTCACATTTGTCTAAAAACCTCCCCCAATAACACTGCTCAGACCATCCGCTTGTCGGTCTCACCAAACAGCAGCACTTCCCTGGGTTCTCCACTCATTACACACACATTTAGCAACAGAACACCACTTGTGTGTGAGGTTCTCTGCTCAATAACATTAGAGAAGGAGAAACAGCTGGCTGCTACCACTTCAACTTTAGGACAATCTATCAGAGTCCCAAAAAGAAAACACTGTTTGAAGTCACGGACAACAAAAGACGTTTGGACCTAGAAAAAGGCGACTGGTGTTTAGCACTATCTCGTTTCCTCTGGCATCGCAGGCCTCTGGTTCCGACGGACGCGAACCAGCGACGAAATCCGAAGGAAGGGGCGAGTGTTTTCTGTGACCATGTTTGCGTTTAAAAAGCTGGCTTGTTTGAAAATGTATTAACGCAGCTTTAACTAGCATGCAATAATGCACATATTAATATGGCTCAGACTGATTTTTACAGCACGTTGCGAAGGCCTAATGAGACTTTTATCTTCTAGTGAGTTGAGGCTGAGGCCCAGCTAGCCCTGTAATAAGTTAAAATAGATGGTGAATTTTGCTTTTGTTGTTTTTCTATTTGATCTTGTTGAAAGGCTCAACTTTTAGGTCACATATTACATGAAAGTGATGAGATAACGACATCATAGCAGCACTATTGATCAGGGATATCACTTCAATCAAGACCTACATATGAGGAAAAGCTATTCTGCTGCTATTGTGTGACTTCTAATGAAAACACGCACGCGCGCGCGCGCACACACACACACACACACACGGTTGGAGTTGATACAAGAGGCCCATATCCGGCCTTCTTTGACACAGTGCATCCACTGCTTCAGTGGAACCAATGAGAATAGGCAGAGGGAGTAAAAAGCGAGTCAGAGAGAGACTTTGCTCCACATGCACTCGCTACTCCATTCAGCTCTGTATCAAACACAAAATCATCCCAAGAGCTTCTATGGGAGATCACTGGGTCGTGAAGACTGTTTGTCACTTAAACTTTAAAGGACATACTGGGTAAAACATCTACTGTCCTTGATGTGGTGTGCAGAAACGTAAATTTAGAAGTGATGGCTGACTCTGAGTGTGATTTTCTATGATAAGTATGTCACGTTCAGGAGGTTAGGATCCAAAATTGCAGAACACTCAGAATGACACGAGGCAGAAGCGGATGTAAAAGTAAAAAATACCTTTTATTAGGATGGGGAAACAAAAATAAAATCCAAAAAGGGCAGGAAGCCAAGCCAAAAGTCTAAATCCTTGACAAAACCAAAAAGCTCTCTTTCTGAGCTGATAACTAGAGATCAGGTGGGGAAACAAAAACAACGCTGACAAAGACATCAATGGACCGACACAACACAGAGACAAGACTAGCCTAGTGAACTAGACCAAATTCTTGCTTTGCAAAGTTTGGTCTAGGCATGCTCCATTGGAACCTCAGCAGCTCCTACCAGGACTCTGGCTAGCCAATCACAGCTCTCTAGAGGGGTTTCAAACACATAAAGAGCTGTGATTGGTCCATAATGGTGGGCCAATCATAGTGCTCTATCTGCTTAGTGAACAAATCACAGAGCTTTATCCGCTTTGTGGGCCAATCAGGGCACTCTATATGCCTGGCGGGTGGGATGATGCAACAGAGTGAAACAAGAGTATGTCACATTCATTGTCCAGTAGCATGCGGAGATCATTTGAAAGACAACGGTAGAACCCGCCCCACAACCAAGAGCCGTCAATGGAGTGTGGCCAAACTAAATAATACATTTATTTAGTCTGGCTTGCCAGGCTAAGACAAAACAGGACTTACATAGACTGGGAGGAGCAATTAGGGAAACAGGAAGCAGGTGTGTGGAGTGAGGCTGGAGGGAAGGCAGGTGACAACAATTATCCAGAGGTGGAAAGAGTACTAAAATGTTGTACTTAAGTACAAGTATAATTACTTTCATGAAATTCTACTCAATTACAAGTAAAATTACCTGCCTCAAAATGTACTCAAGTAAAAGTAAAAAGTAGCTTATTTCAAATGTAGTCAGAGAAAAAGTTACTTAGTTACTTTTTTGACTGTGCAAGGACGGGCTCTTCTGAATAGAAAAAAAAGACAGTGGGGTATAAATGTCAAAGTGGCCGTTTTTTTTTATTAAATGAACAAATATGCATATTGAAGTACAAAGGCAGTTACACTGCAAACTAGTAACCCAGGCAGATCCTGATAGGCCTACCCATTATATCAGCCTCTCCAGTAGCAGATGATGGTCAACAGTGTCAAAGGCTGCAGTCAGGTCCAGCAGGACCAGAACAGAACAGTCCCCTGCATCACTGTGGGTCAGAAGGTCATTAGAGACCCTAAGAAGAGCTGTTTCAGTAGAATGAGCTCTACGAAAACCTGACTGGAAGCTATCATAGATGTTATGTTCATCAAGAGCAGCTGTGAGTTGTTTAGCCACAACCTTTTCCAAGATCTTGGAGATGAACGGAAGTTTAGAGATGGGTCTGAAGCTGCTATGGAGAGAGGGGTCGAGACTCGGTTTTTTAAGAAGCGGGTGGATTACAGCGTTCTTAAAGTAAGCAGGGACCTGACCAGAAACCAGAGAAGCATTAATAATGGAGAGCACGCTGGGACCGATGGACTGAAAAGCACTTTTAAACAAAGATGAGGGTAAGATGTGATGACTGTTGCTTGACTTGCTCCGCCCCAGCCTCTGCCATCTGGTCAAGATGTCTTCTCATATTGATCAAACCTGTTGAATGACAAATACATAACACATATTTAATATATCTGGCAATTAAGTTTTGATAGAAGATGCAACAAGAATTGTTTTTAGTAATACATGCCTTACAGATACTATAATTTGTGTCGACAGACTCGTATAATTGAACTTTAAGTATGTTGACAGGATTGAAATGAATAAGAAACAGATTGAGGTATGATATTAAATTATAAAAAATTACCTGCTTCAATGATATCGTGCCTCTCAGTCCAGGTGGTCTTGAACTTTGGAAGAAGGATTGCAGCTGCAGTCAGCTCAGGGTCTTCCATCATCTCACCAAAGTGCTTTTGGACACCATCCTGAATGGCTCTGAAGAGTGGCAGACACATCTTGGAGACAGTCTCCAGTCTGCTGAGTTTTTCTTTTAGCTGGAAGATCACTTGAGGGGCGGGACTAGGAAGCTCAAAAATGACCAATCAGAAAAAAGAAGGAAATCCCGACTGTACCACATGATGCGGTAGATTTCTAGTTGTAGTAAAAAAAAAAAAAAAATGGCATCTGGCAATGGCGCAAACATCTTTTATTTTTTTTAGAAGAAATGCTTTTAGCGCTTCTACTTGTGGTTTTAAAGACATCTGTGTCATTTAAAACAGAGGAAAGAGCCGCAGCGAACTCCGCCGCTGCCTTCGTTGTTTATGAGAAATTGAGCATCGCCGTGTATGAAGTGAATTAAACAGGAGGAGTCTGGCAGGCCAGGCTATCTTTCTCGTACCATTCGCGCCTATTTTCTTCTCCTACCCATCATTCATTGCACTGTAAGGTCACTGAACACATGCTTCACACTAAGAAGTTCAACTCACCTGTTGACTGCTCAGACATCCCTTAATTCCTTCTCACAAGCTTTGATCTTCTTAGGTGATCCTCCAGTCATCCGAATAGTCAGTTAGTGTTTCTTATCCTTTCCTTCGTACCCCGTAACACTCTCGTAACTTAATCACTCAGTTCTTCTGGTGCGCGCCTTCAGCGTCCGCAGCACTTCCGTGTTTAGGACTTATCAGTATAGACATATATGTACATAGACACTTCATTAAGCGCTGGATCACTCTCGAGTGCGTTAAGACGCTTCTACATAAGTATGTGTTTATACTCTCGTCTCTCTTCTTTGGTTATGTCTGAATCCAGTGCAAACCGTGCCGACACAGTATTTGCAATGTTGTTGTTTTTTTTTTACTCGGTAACGGATAAGATAAAAAATGTAGCGAAGTACAATACTTACAAAAAACAATACTCAAGTAAAAGTAAAAATACAGATTTTAAAAACTACTTAAAAAGTATAAATGCGCAAAAAAATCTACTCAATTACAGTAACGCAAGTAAATGTAATTCGTTACTTTCCACCTCTGCAATTATTTGAATAGGGAAGAGAACCAGTGGAGGGCAGATAAACCTAAAACTATATAAATATATATAAATCTAAAGACTGGGGGAAGGACTCACACACACACACCAGGAACTTTTGAAGGACAGTCCAATGAAACCCAGTGTTTACTGACTGGAAATAAAACAGAGAATCTGTCATTTTGAGTTTGAAACAGTGAAAACAAAATTGTAAATGAAATTAGCAACTGAACCAAGACTGAATCGTTATTGGCTAAAACTGTGAGGACAACATCCATTTTTTAGCAATTTTTACAAAAGTATTCAGATGTTTCTCAAATTTTGTATCACCATCTTTTTGCTGTTCAGATGAAACAAGAGGAGACGAGGCCTCATCATCAGCAAAAACACAAATCTGACAGGATTTCACGAGTGACTGTTATTGCTGCAAAAAAAATCAAATAAAAACACAAGAACACTTTTCTATTTGAAGTGCATTATGTACATGAGGTAAGGCAATACCCTGCAGAAACTGGAGACACACAGAGGCTGTGAAATCACCAGCACCCACCTTCCCGGTGGTTTAGTTGTTGTGGGATCAGACGGTTCATTCTCAAAGAGACACAATTCCTTTTCTCAGATCCTTCTTCCCTCCTCACCTGCCCTCATTTCTTCACTCGCTGCTTAAACAGTGATTTAAATTTAGCAACAGTTTCACGTGATTGCACCTTTCTCTTTGCACATGTATTGCTATAAAATGCTGGATCTTTAGTTGCATCAGTAATAAAAAAAAGTCTCTGAAATAAAGGCAAAACCCACTGAAGTGAAGGCAGGAATGACTGTTTCATTTATTTGGCATCCTCCTGGTGAACGATAGCGATTTTCTCCTGCCTCTGGCTGCTCAGACACACAGAAGAAATTAGCAGTTAGCTTTGGCACAGAGCTATTTAAAGCTTTTAAACACAGCAGTAAAATTTTAGAGTCGTTACAAGAGACCAACAGGGAGTCAGGGCAAGTAGGAAACACAGTATCAAGCAGGTTTATGTTCACATCTCCTAAACTTGGTAATAATTTGTGGATCAGAGCTAGGAGACATGGTGGAGGCAGTGACTAATTCCTGAAGAAAACAATACAGTTACTTTAATTTCAGACTTTTTGTTTTATTCACTTTAAATGTCATGCTTTTAAGTATTATCTGAGGTGATGAGTTATGCATTTTAGTGGAATGAAAGCCTGATGCACAGAAGTGTTGATGGTGAGTTCCATCTTCTTTATTTGGGTGGTCTACGGTTCTGAATCAGTCAATCAATCAATCAATCAATCAATCAAGCTTTATTTGTATGGCAATTTTCATATACAAAAAAATACAGCTCAAAGTGCTTTACATGTTAAAATCACCCCATATAATCCATAATTCCATCATTTCCCCAAAAATATAAAATAATTATGACAGTTGCATTAAATGTTAAAAACCTATTTTATTAATGTTTTTATTTTGCGGGATAAAAGTCAGCTCAGAGTCGAAAATCACACCCAGGTTCTTCACTTGTTCAGAAGGATTAAAAGACATTGATTGTGTTTTTTGGTAAAAGTTTCTCTCTCTGAGCCTCAGGACCAATGAGTAAAACTTCAGTTTTGTCCTGGTTGAGATGGAGAAAGACCCCCGTCTGAAATGAGCAATTCATCAAGGTTAAAATCTCATCTCTAAATGAATCACAGAATTGTGTAAAAAACCTAGTGGGAATCGGGTCTAGGACACTGACTAGAACCTGATCATCATAATCATAGGACCTGAAGACCAGTATGGTGTGTAGCTGTGGGTGGCTGAAGGAAGCCTAGCCCATTGGATTTCTTGTACTGGTTGCCTTATTGTTAACTGTCACTAGCTAGCTCACCACTGAGGTTCACTGAATTCCACCAAGTGTCCTACCCAGTGAGGCTGACCTTCCATCAAGTAGGTTTTGCCACCAGATCCACTCAAAAGTTGGGTTTATCCTCACTTGTTGAGGAAGATCTAGGCTTAAAGGGAATTTGATCTGTTTCTTTATGTTTTGCTCATTCTCTTCAAAATGGCCCCATTCATCACTCAGTGTGTTTACATGCTCATCAGAAAACCAAACTATTGCTCTAAATGGACTGACACTTTTTTGTAAAAATGCATATAAACACATTGTTCTTGTTGAAGGAGAACTGGTTCTAATTAACCTGAAGCACCCAGATATAGTGGTAGGAACCAACTTCCTCTGCATGTAAACGGCTCCGTCGAGCTGACACCAATTACGTCTGAAAGTAATGAAACCATGGAAATGGTCTTCTGATAATTCCATTTTTGGTTCTTTTTAAAACACATGAAAGGTTTTTCTTTACCGGTTTCTCCTATGTATGTTTTATTGCTGAGTTTGCATTGGATTTTGTAAACGACTCCACATTTAAGTCCAGCTGGTATCTTGTCTTTTGGGTGTACTATTCTGTTTCCAACTGTTGTGTATGGTTTTGTTGGTGTGTTTATGTTGTGTTTTTTCATTGTTGCTCTTATTTTTTCTTTTATGCCTTTGATGTATGGTAAGGTTATCACTGGTTTTGGTTCTTGTCTTTCTGGGTTTCTGGTTCTTTGCTTTGGTTGTTCTTTTCTTTCTGTTGTTGTTTTTCTTTGTTTATTGCCCATGTCGGGTATCCGCAGGTCTTTAAAGCGTATTGTATGTGTTTGTCTTCTTGTTTACGGTCTCTTTCTTCTGTTACCATGTTTGCTCGGTGATATAATGTTCTGATTACTGACATTTTGTGTATGGTGGGTTGTTCTGATGTCCATAATAAATTTTGGTCTGTGTGTGTTTCCTATATGTGTTTATGTTTAGGGTCCCGTCGGTCTGCCTGGTTATTTTCATGTCCATAAATGCTATGTTGCCTTCTGGTTCTGACTCATAAGTGAATTTTATGTTGCCTGTGTCGTCAATGTTATTCAAGTGTTGTGTTAGTGTTTCTGTTTGTCCTTTTGGTTCCAGTATGTCATCTACGTAGTGTTTCCATAGTTTTATTTTACAGTTTGGGGGGCAGTGGCTATGGCTTTTTGTTCTAGATCTTCCATGCAAAACTCGCACAGGGTGGCTGATAACGGGTTACCCATGGCGAAGCCTTCCAGTTGTTTGTATATTGTGTCATCGTATGTGAAGTAAGTGGAGTTAGCCACCAGTCCTATCAGTTGTGCTATTTCATCTGCTGTGAGGTTTGTTCTTTTGTGTAAAGTCTTGTCCTGTCTGATTCTGTTAACTACTATGTCTCTGGTTTTTTTGGGTTGGTGTTTTTGTGAACAGGGATGTGACGTTATGTGAGATGAGTATGTCGTTGTCTTCTATTGTAATCTCATTCAGTTCTTTTGCCAATTCTATACAATTTTTGTAATGGGTTAGGGTTAGGGTTGTATGTTGGTGTATCTACACCTGCATGAGTGTACACCTACATCTGCAATAAAACATACACAGGAGAAACCGGACACCAATGGCGGTTTTAAGCAGGGGCCCACAGGGGCCTGGGCCCCTGTAGAACCGGCCCTGGCCCCTGTTATGGCCCCTGTGCTGAAGAGATCGGATTTTTTTTCCCCGCGCTGCCTCGGAGACAGGAACTAATGCGCTGCAGCGTTTCACACGGAGCCTTTAGAGCGCAGCACACTCTGTGGACAGAACTGTTTACCCGGTGGATTTTTGAATACAAGATTAAAAATAGTTTAAATGGGACCCGAAGAAGTTCTTGAGGACGCCAAACGGAAAAGACGCTAAGAGACGAAGGTAAGCAATAGTTTATTTTCCTGACATCAATGTTTTGATGGTAGTTGCGCGTTTCTGTCATTTACTTTTAAGTTCCTAACTGAGTCTATCCACAGTTAATACTGATTTGTTTTTCCTTTGTAACATTAACTGTAAAATAAAAATGAAGTTGCTGCATTTTAAGCCTTAGACACGTTGAGATTAGGTCACAGTATTCATTTATCTATGACTTTCTCGCACCACTGACTGGAAGCATCAGCGGCCATGAAAACAAAAATGGGCATTTTGTCCTTTTTTGCCGCTGTTAATAAAGAACAGCATAGACAGAGAGAGGATGAAAGTCACGAGGGAGCTGAGAAGCAGGATGAAAGAGAGAAGGAGAAGTTGGTTGGAGAGGAACCAGAGAGGTCAGGCTTTCCACTCTGAGAGTGAGGAGGAAGATGTAGGCTGTGAGGGAGAGAGTGAGGAGCAAAAGAGGGACATCTTCTGTCATGTGCACTGTGTACACTACCGTCAGGTTTGTGGGTGTTGAACTAACCCCTCTGTGATTGCAGCTCACTTTGTGTGTAAAATGCATTTGAGGCATGCTGACTCTGGACCAAAATTTCTGTTGTTTATATTTAATAAATGATAAAATAAGACTCTGAATTAACTAATTATGACTTTTATCCTCATGCTAACATTTATTTTCTTTCAGATATCAGCAAGTGCAAGGATGACCCACCTACTCAGTGTCATTTGAGGACATTTCCAGTGACATTAATAGGAGACAGAAGACGCAGCTTTCAGCCAAGCTGGTATGAAAGTCATCCTTGGGTTGAATATTCTGTTACTATGGACTCTACTTATTGTCATGCATGCAGACATTTTATCCCACCAAGTAGCGCAGGAAGTGTGCTTGACTCACCGTGTGGATTTAGGAACTGGAAAAAAGCAACTGAGAGAGGAGGGGTTTTCAGTACATGCAAAGTCTGAAAGGCATAAGGATTCAATGATAGTGTGGAGGGACTACCAGAGGGCTGTGGAAGCTAATACAACACTGGCTAATATACTCGACAAGGAACACAGTAAAAAGGTTAAAGAACATTGTGAGTATATCAAAACAATTGGTGGTGATTTTGCTTACGTGTGTGTGTGTGTGTGTGTGTGTGTGTGTGTGTTGACTACAAAAAGCAAAATTGTATTGTGCAGATATTTTATTTGTTTGAATGTTTATTTTCATATGTACAGTTCATATAATTTTCAAATAAAGTCACAAACTATAATAATTTACTAGAATAGTTTTTTTTTACTCAAGTCTCATGTTGCAGTGAAGCATTCAGAATTGTTATCTGAGTACCATAAAACATGCCAGTTTTACTTTCACAAGTAAACCAGTACTGCATTCGCCGTAATAGTTTACTTGTTCATTGTCTTTTATTATGATTTTTTTCTTGCGCCCCCATGAAAAAATACTGGCCCCACTGTGGCCCCCCTGGAAAATTTGGTCTAGAACCGCCCCTGCCGGACACCACCTCAATACACAAACAATAGAACATAGAAAGGAGTGAGAGAAAGAAACAAGTCGAAAACACACAAGAGCAGCAAAACAAGAAGCAGAAAGTACAATAAAGAAGTCAGCCGTAACAGTTCATTGCACAAGAGAAAACCATATAATGGACAACACAAGGATCATAAACACTGAACAACAGAAATACAAAAGATGGATAAAGGAAGCTATCGAGATAAGGAGACGTGGATGTGGAACCATGAACAGAGACGATGGGGTTTACACATTGGATCGTGCATGGGACTGCATCATCGGAGAGGGTAGATCGGGCAGCAGAGGGCAACAACGTCCTCTGCTGCCCGCGGATAAATGGAGTAGGAAGTGACGCCACCATCAGCGTCAGCTCTGAAAATGTTTTGCAGTCGACAAACAAAACGTACATCAGCAAGGTAAAGAAAAACCTTTCCTGTCTTTTAAAAGAACCAAAAATGGAATTAGAAACTAAACACAGTAAGAAAACACCAAAGAGGTCTTCTGATAATATCGTTACAACAAAGTAACACGTGTAACACCATCAAACAGTACAGTACGTACCAGATCAGCTGTGCTGCAACATTGTTGTTGTCCACTCC